TACATGATCAATTAGACTTTATAGTATTGAATATCAACATTGTAACTTTTGGTGCTCTAATCAGAAACAAACTGGGTTGTTTTCAGTTGGGGCTGAATTTGATGAGAATCTACCGCATTGTAAAACAATTTCTGTCATTTATGTCATTTAGATGGAATTGGATTTTGTTTCACTGCATATGAATTTGACAAGTTCGACTTGCAAAGTGTCCTGAGACTTTATCAGTTGTGACTGTAATAAAAATCTGAACTGTTTGGATCTGCTTTATATGCACATGATGCAATATATTTTTCTGATACAAATTTCTCTGAATTTACATTGTGTTTTAAACAGATGGAAGGTGAATAAACAGAAATGTGTAGAACTGGTTTGTATTTGCAGTTGTTGCTAATAACCTCCATCTCCAGTGTCATCTCTTCTCTCCTTCTCTTCTTTCTCACAGTGAAATCTAATCCCTCCTTTGTGCACAACACTGTCCTGATAGTTTTCCGCTCTCACTCATACTTGTGTTAAGCCGTTCCAAACAAACCTATCTGGATAATATCTAAAATAATGTAAATTAAACTTACTGAAGCTGCCAAGTAAACGATTAACAAGATAACAGCAGGAAAGTGAATCTTCACATGGATGTAATGCTTAGAGTAGGAGAAGCTATTTTTAAATTCAAGACATTAGCATGAGATACAGCTTCTACTTGTTGGACTACACAAAGAATTTGTGTTCATTTATCTTCATGTTATTCTCATCCAGCTGCAGCACCAAGTTGCTAGTGCAACATGAGGTTCACTAGGGGGCAGCAAGTATTAGACTACCACAGAGCGGCTTGTGCTGCTGTGAAGCAAGTCTGTGAGAAAGATGCCATGAAGACGAACATTAAATGACTAAAACTAAAATAATTTGAGCATCGCAAGATGAATATTTTTACCCAACTATTTTTTTTAATTTTGATATTCTAGATACACAGATATATAAATATACATATATATTGACGTAAAACATGATCGAAAACATTTTTTCTTTTGGAAATTTAGCTTAAAAATTTAAATCCATATGAAGATATGTTACACAGAGGGACTTAGTTCAAGCATTTACTTCTGTTCATTTTGGCGATTTTTGGGCTTCAGATAATACAAACCAAAAACTGCCTTTCAGCAGAAAATAAGAATATTACATAATAGAAGCAAGAAATGAAAATAAATAACAACATTGAATGCAATCATTTTAAAGTGTGTTACGTCCTAGATAACAGTGAGGAAGACTTCCTGATGCAACATCAGGCGAGTATTTTCAGTATGGGCCATAATTCTGTATTAAAATTCTCTTCTTATTGGTGTGCAATGTAAAGTCTTTTTTTTAAAGCTGAATTTGGGGTTTTATTTGCCCTAAGCCAAAATCATCAAAACTGACAGAAATAGTAAGCTGAAATACTTCATTCTACGAGTAAAATCAAAAAATGAGTTTCACTTTTTCTATGAACTAACTTTAATTTGATATTTTAATTGGCAGACAATATACACGTTTAGAGATTTGTTTCATAAAAATCAACAAAGACATACATGTTGGTTCAAGTCAAGACCACAAAGCACAACAGCAAAACCAGCCAGGATGCAAGATACAGTCTGAACACTTGCTGCTCATTTACTTGTAAACATTTTCAAATAAACAAGGGCCGATGAGGACAAAACATCTTCAGCGTTTGTCTACATATAAATGAGTTTGTTGCTGAAAACCAGAGGAACTCAGTATCCTCTATGAAGAACCATTTACCTCCTGAGAGCTGCAGATGTTCTTTCTCTGGACCCTTCAGCTTCATCCTCTTCACCCCTCATTTCCTCCATCAGGCTGATTGCTTGTTTTGTACCTGTTCTCATTTAGCAGGAACTGATTTCCACCCTCACATGTACACTGTCTGATCACATCAGAATCTTCCCCAAGATGTTTACTATTAACAAAAAATAAACTACACTGTCAGTTAAATTTCAGAAAGTGATCCATACTTTTATCATTTTCAGCAAAGAGGAATGTAACCTGAACTTCTTGACCAATGAGCTCAATAATTCTCACACATACACAAATAGTCACTAAAATAGGATGAGACATTTCTTGTTAATGAACTTGTTTTATTTATTTTGTGTTGATCAGTAAAAGTTAGAATGTTGCTCCACAGCAATAATGCATGTGAGAACATGCTCCACTTTTTCCACTGGCTCTCTTTTGCACTCAATGAAGCATACTAAATTGCATTTTCAGCCATCTTATGAAGTAAGCCGTGTTCTACTGTCTGACATTCAAAAGCTCTTCGCTGTTCTCAAACACATCAACAGAGACAACAAAAAGATTGAGATAAAGGACTGATTTGATAGGCCTTTGATCAACTGACTGCATCCTCTCAGCTTTTCCTTTTCTGGCAAGTTCCATAGTGGTAGATAAATGACTGTGTGCCATAATTGTCTGCTTCACAGAGTATTGAGTCATTTTCGCTAATTGCTGCCAAAAACAACAGTAAAGGGGGCCACGACTGAGAGATCAGTTGTGAAGAGGATTCATGCGTTCAGCGCTCAAAGGATTCTGAGTCTCCAGCTGAAACTCTTACATAAATGAATCAGTAACAGAACCAGCAAAGAAGTGGCCTATTTTCTCAACCAGCTCTGACTGACCAATGAGTTACTTTCAGAAATCTGTGTTGGGATGTCTTTTTTTTATGGTTTCATGTAAGATTTAATTTGACCATTTTGAAGCCTGAAAATAATGTTAATCTGACGCAGACGCTATGTATCCACTGATTGGATGCTTGAAGTGGCCTCGGTGACTAGGTGGTGGTGATGATTGTGATAGGAGTTTGTCCTGTGATCAGTGGGTTGCTGGTTTGAGTCTCTGTGTCTGTCAGATTGCCCCAGCCCAGCTGTAGCTTGCCACCATCAGCGCGTGAATGTGTGTGTAAATGAGAATAACTGATTTCATTGGAAATTGGTTGTCCCCAAAAGTGCCACATCAGTCTGATGTGATTTCAATTCATTACCTCTATTGATCATTTGGGAGCATTAGACAGACGACATCAGCATTAAAATTGCATCTCTTGGAATTGGAGAAAAACATGATCTCACCATAAGATTATGGAAAAAGTATCCTACTCTGTCATGTTACTTGAGCATACAATTCTTTATCTTTGCTGGACTTAAATATTCAAACTTTCAGTTTATTAATATTGCACCACCAAATAATAGCAAATGTAATTTTAAGGCACTTTACAAGACAAACAGATTCAGAGATATAATATTATATCATTTCAGTAATATACAGTGATTCAAAGTTAGTCACATTCACTACAATTCAATGACAGTTTTTTCAAGCTGCTTTATAATTTGTAAACAGCTTCCCATAATGAGGAACTCCAGGTGATTGAACCGGGTCATTGACTTTGCACCGGTTCGTCCTGAGTTACAGTAAAGAACATGAGGATGAAGAACATGGCTGTCTGATCAGTCACTAATGTCCACAAACCTGTTTGGTTTAGCAGCAGAGTAAGCATTGGTGTGTGAGTCACTGTGTTTTATTTGTTATCTATGTATTGCATCAGAAAGTGGATCAATCAACTGAAAACTACAGACCAACCAGGAGTCTACTGGTTGGTCTGTTGATCACCCATCAATGTTACTTTCTTTCAGTTAAATGAAAAAATTTGCACTGACTAGACCGTCGAAACCAGCCTGTGACGCAGCACTTGATATTATAATTCGCACAAAGACCAGTCAACAAGACTTTGGACATAGAACAAAAAAATTCCTGCCGATATGAGATCTGAGTCATTAATTAAAGTAGAGAAAAATGTGTCTAGACCTGTACCGTACCTGTCTTAGTGAATGACTCAATGAGATAGCATGCAAACAACATTTTCCATGGTTTATAGTATTGAATCATACTAACAATAGACAAGTTCCTACCAGGAACCACTGAGCAAAAATGACAACAGCAATAAAATACATGCAGTGAAGGAAATGCTTGTGTGTGGGAATTTAACAGTGATGCCTCCCAACGACTCATGACTTACACTGAAAAGCGTCAGGGGAGGTAGTGGAAGACTCCTGAATCCAGTCATATCTGTGCTAAACACTTGGCTGAAGGCAATGATAACAGACAGAAGAGGGGTTTGGCTGAATTTCTTGAAAACGCAGCTTGATTTCATACGCATACACATGGTGGATTATGATAGCAAAAAGTGCTCAGGAATATACCACCGTTTGAAATGGGAATATGACCCGTGTCCTTTTATCCAATCACCACTGGAGATAAACGACAAGCCCCTCACAATCAACCTGCAACATGCTGCTAACGGCTGTTAGCAAAGCCACCTGCAGTTCATTACTGAAACTTTACAGCTGATGTTCAGTCAAATTTCACAAAACTATATTAACTGTAAAGCTTAAACATTCTTGAGATCCTGTTAAAGTTGATTTCAGCTTCTACCACTCAACTTTTATAGCAATCTCTCTTTTCCAGAAAAATACATGATCCCATAAAAATAAAAGGTGTAAGCTTGTAAAATTATAAAATGTGTCTCTTTTCACATAATGTAGCCTGTACACAAATATGTTAAGGATTCTGAAATGTATGCATCAAATCAAAGAAAACCTATATAATGCTACACACAGAATTTTTATTTCTGTTGTAGCTGTTTCAACCGTTAGTTCTATTTAGAACTATTTTATTGTGATGGTTTTTTTTTTGTTTTTTTTTTTCCAGAAAAAGCTTCTATGCTTTCAGTTTTATGTTTGTTTACTTTTTGAGGTTTTTAAGGTTACAGAACTTACACTGCTATTGGGCATGGAATGCAATTTCTGATATTTTTATAGCATCTCTTGGATTTATATCAGTGCAATGCAGAATAGTAAAATTTCCAAGGATGTTAAATACTGGTTAGTTGTAACTCCACCCACTCTATTTAAATCCACTATGTTAGTCAGCAGTCAGCTTCACATTGGAACTTGATTCTTGACCAACAGGATTGGAATCGTGGGAATAAGACTTTTGACTGACTCCATACTCTGAGCTCTACATTAAAGTAAGATCATTTATTCTGCATAATGTGTGGACTATGTGTAAATAGGTAATCTTTCAGACAAATATGTTCTGTTTTTATTTTGTTTCTGCTGAGTTAAAGTTCATGTAGAACTAAGTCTGTATAAGGCAACAAAATCTGCCTATATTTAAATATACTTTTTTTTAACCATCATTGTCTTTTAGAGAAAAAAAAAGAAAACATTGATTTTCTTTTCTCTTCTTTTCCAGTTTGCCCAAGTGGGAATCCTCAGCTTCAACGTTTTGCTGTAACTTTTTTTTTTTAATTATCATTATCTATTTATTGCTCTCCCTCCATTTTTGGAGGTCTGAGAGTCGGTGAGGTATAGCCCCCCTCTAACTCCTGCAGAGAGAGGTTGTACAAAGTTGAAGTTGAAAGTTGAAGATGCGGTCCTTCCTCCCGCTTGTCGTGTATTGCATCAGCCTGCTTTCCCTGCAGCAGCTGGCGGCTTCACCGGCCGGGAAGCGTCCTGACGGAAACAGGTAGGACAAGATAACCACCGGCTACTTTACTACTGCTTCCGCCTCCTGTTGTCGGTATAACACACTAATACAATAGTTTTAGACGATAAAACAAAGCTACACCTGATTGGCTGAGTTTAAAAACATTTCGTCACCTGCCACTTTACGGCAAATTAGTTCAGGGGAAGTGCTGCAAGTCGGAAACTTTAAACCTAAATGGGTTGGAACAAGCGGCTTCTGCAGTCGTCTTGTTTTTAATTTAAGAAGTTGAAAAGTTTTCTGCCGGTGTGGTGGTGCGTAACAGATCTAGAACTTTAACTAAAGCTTGCTGTTAGTTTGCTTAAGTGTTATTTTCTGCCTGCGTGTCTAAAGAGTCACATGAGCCGGAGTGTTTGGAGGTGGCTGCTGTTCTGTCGTGCAGTTCAGACAATGAGCTAGATGATCAAAGGCTGTAAGCAATAAAACACTTTTGTAAATGTTTTTTGTTTTCGTTTTACATTATTGTAAAAATTAAAACGTAAAATAATGCCAATATTTGAAACGTTTAAAGTAGCACAATAGTTCGAAACTCCTGGTTATTAATATTATAAAAATTATACAGCATTTGATAAGGTCGTGGATTAAGTTCTGAAGTGAAATAAAAAAGCTACAATTTAGCAGGTCCAGTATAAAAAAATGACCCACATTCTGAATTTAAAGTTGAAGTTAACTATTGCTCCACACTTAAATCCCCAAAGCATGTTTGACATATTCCACGTCGTCTTACACAAGGAGGGAAAACCAGTTTATTTTCATGAATGGAGCCCCACAATGGATTATTGTGAATGTGACGTTAAATGGTCCCTGTTCTGTTCCGCCCTTTTAAACTGCAGTGGTTTTAGTCAAAAAGCCCCGCAATTAAAGACGAGGCAACAACCAGTAACAGCCTGTAGACCCAGTTTGATGTGTGCGGGGTCAGCAGCCATACAAACTTAAGTTGCAATGTTATCAGTGAGTAGCGCCTGAGAATGCAGATGAAAGAGTGTAAATGGCGCCTTCTGCTGGTAGAGTGTGATAAGAAACTGCTTTTTTTCCCCCTTTAGAGCCAACTTTTCTGAATTTCCATCCATTTGTGAGTCAACAAGGCAACTCAAAAGTGATAGACCTAAGTGTAGCATTAAATATTATGAGAAATATTACAGAAAAAGCTTCTATGCTTTCAGTTTTATTTAATGTTTATTTTCTGAGCTCATTCCTTTTAAGGTTACAGAAGTTACATTGCTTGTGGGCATGGAATGCAATCGATAATATTTTTATTATATATTTATATCTGTATATATATACACTTTGTGTATTTATTTATTTGTCAAAATGGATATAATCCAGTAGATAACTTGGAAAATTGAGGAAATCTTTTTTTTTTCCCTTTTATGTTGTTCAATTATTTTGTGATTGTAAAATAATTAAGAAAAGTTGGAGAAAAATCCTCTCATCACTATGCATATGTCACATGCCGGACACAATAAAGAAAGAGGGTTTGGAAGAATAATAAAGCTAACATCTGTGCTGATGATCTAACAGCTCTGCCTCTGTTTGAGGCAGAGCAGATCACACAGCACCATCTCATGTCATTGCCTATTGATGTGTGTGAGCGAGCGCTGAACACCTGCTGCTGAAACCTTCACCTGCCCAGCACCTTAATCCCCTCAGTCCATCTCGTTTCTACTTAACAAGAGAGTCCTAATCCCTCCGTCTTCCCTAAAGACGTGTCTTTTTCCCAGTTTGATCCAGTCTGCTACATAACACATAATTGGTCGTAAATGTTCCACTGCTTTCTTCTTATGACAATAAATTCTCACTCCCAGTTCCATGGAGCACATGGTGTCCTGTTACCATCACGTGCTGACTGAAGAATAACAGCAGACATAACTATTCTACATTTCTTTCGCCTGTTAGACGCTGGGTGGATTTCTGTCATTCCTTTCATGTTCTGTTTGTGTCCATGTTCTGTCTCTGTAACCTGATAAGGTAATGCTAAAGAAGTCCTTAAGATGCAGAACTGCCGCTTGCCAAACTAGGAATGATTGTATGGTTTTCTGATCACATGCAGCAAATACCCTTCATTTTCTACTATATTTTTTCTTTTATGTTTCTTTTTTAGGTTAACCGGTTTTTATTTTTATTTATCTCAATAAAATATGTCAAAATCTGGACGTTTCTAGCTAAGAACAATGACCTTTCACCCACATTTTAGCATCAGTACATATCTTTGTTGTGCCACCAAAACTGAATTCTGTTTTGGTTGTTGAGCACTTTACGATACAGATTACTGATTTAACAACTCATTGTTTTGAGATGAATGACATGCCAAACAGATTTTCACTTGGACTCCTTTTGGGCCTCACTGTGTTCGCGTCAGGACACACAGTGTGGTTCAGTCTGGGTGCTTACGTTGTAGTCCAGGTTTGTTCAAGCAGTATGAGGTCACATGATGTTATGTTTTTTCCAATTAAATCATTAATGGAGAAAAACAAGAGTGAGCGACAGACAACCAGACAGACAGACAGATTTAATCTCACACAGGGTGTGTGTAATAATAATAGTAGCTATTATTACTACAACTATTAATTATAATAATTACTATTAGCATAGTAATTATTCTAATAATTAGTAATTATAATAACAATATAAGAATATGAAGTTAGGTATTTCAGGTTTCTGTGCATGGGTTCTTGGGACTGAACAGTTACAGTTGAGCAAGGTGAAAGCAGTGACCAAACGGGGAGAATTCCACTCTGGATTATCCTCTTAGACCAAAATCCAACTCTGGCATCCGTAAAGAGCTGTTTTTCACATGGAAACCCATTTTGTAGAGGCGTGACTTTACATGTGCTGTGTATGTAAGAGGAGCAGCACTCATCTGATGATGTGGTTGAATGTTTTGTTTATTGATCACAGGGTTTCAGATGCTAGTTCCTATTTAAACTTTTGACTTCAACTATCAAAACCACTGGGCTAGAATCATCAGCACCACAGATTATAGTTCTGTGTTGTGTAACAGTGGAGTCAGTGTATGAGTCATACAAAATATTACCAATTTAAATCCACAATGAATTTCAGTGTCAAGATGCAATGGTGACTACAGTTCGAGAGAAAAAAGACATGTGTCCAGTGAGTTAAATACTGGTCCCGTTGTTTAGACGGGTGATGTGGCAGCATGGCACATCAAACCTGATCTGAAAATAGCCTGCGGCATCACATTATGCAACTGTCTCTCCAGAAACAGCCTAGTCTTTGGCAATTGAGTCCTCGTCAGGCTACCTTACCTGTTTGAATAGCATTGACCTTCCATTTCATGCCAGATTACTATACAACATCTCAATGGTATACCGTTTTCAGCCACTCAGCGGGATTAAAGAGTGAGTGTTTGTGTTGAGTCAGCATTTTACTGAGTATATTTAGAACAGCTGTGGTATCTGCCACAGACAACTTGGTGCTAAATTTTTCTTGTAGTTGGAAAAGCAAAGATATGATGCATTTCCTCAGATGTAGTGTACAAACAGAATTATGAAGGTTTACTTCTCGTCTACCAGGTGTAGTCATTTTTTTTCCAACCCTTTTTCCATTGGTGGTGCTAAGTTCGACACTCAGTGGCTTGACTCTTACTGATGAGCCATCAGGTCAAGTTGAAAGAACGATACCCATTGTTCAAACAATGAACAGATGGTAGAGATGTTGCTACTGGTTACTGAGAGGCCAGTACATTCTGCTTGGTTTGCTGACCGTGTCCTTTCCAGCAGAGAAATTGTCCCAAGGTCCACGTTCCAGACAACGCGTTTTATGCATGGATCAATGAAATGTCAGTCTCCAAATAAAAAACATACCCTTCTTAACTTGAAAGAACTTGTTACTGTGCACAGATTCGCTGGAGTTCCACCGGTTTGATTTATATTTGCTCTGTTTCCCCTGGAACCATTCAGCAGATCTGAAACAAGTCTCATCAGGTTTCTTGATAATGAGATCCTGTGCCTACTTACCAAAAATACCAACAACAATCAGGTGGCAACATAAAAATGGTAGCAACAAAGGCTGACTCAGGAATATGCTATTCAAGGCATCAAAAGGCTATTTACTTTTATATCCCAATTAAGAGACAGGCATGTTGAAATGTACAAAGTTGTGCTCACATGCAAAAGATAAACAGATGTCGGTACTCCTACTAAAAGTTTCACAGTAATAGCTGATCCTAAACCTTAAAAGAAAACAATAGGAGAATAAATCCATTACTAAAATTTGTACTTATTTCAAAAGAAACCCATTCATATTACTCAGTGATATAAAATATTATGTAGTTTGGAAGATATACTGATCTTATGAGCTGTGTTTGTAATTCAGCATAACCCTTAATCAGTTTCTAGTGTGTTTGGTCTGTTTGTGGACAGGATTTGAAGTTGCAGAAAGGAGGGTGACTGGTTTGGGAATCTCTGGGTCTCCTTTCCTTTGGTTTGATTATGTGCTTCTGTGTGTATCTTTGGACCATCAGTGTGTGCTAGAATGTTTTAGTTTGCATTCTAACAGTATACATCACAGTAATTCAAAAAGTTGGTAGTTGTTACTCGCTTGTGTCTACTTTTCGAGGTGTCACAGTGGACTGATATTAGTGGGATGACTTCAACTCCTTATTATGTGCGAGGACTTTTCAGTTGATCGCAACATGTCAAGAACATCACACAATGAAAGGGGTTTCTGTTCTGGGTCTCTTACAGACTGGCATCATGCTTAGGGTTGGACCTTCCTTGATGGTATTGCCGTCTCCACAGTGTAGCTAACAGGACTTAGCAAGTAAAAAAATGGGCAGCAATTTAACCACCCATAAAGAGCTGTTGTCCATGTCTAAGGAGTTTTTGAGGTTTTGTAATGTTCCTCAAAATATTTCCTAGCATTTTTTGTGGTTTGGCATGATGCACCATAATGCTTGAGGAAACTTCTACCGCTGGCTTGGTGGAGTGGATGGGCTCAGTTTGCTGAAATATTTAAGTTAAGGGCAAGTATTACATGAATATCTACATTCAAAGTTTGCTAGCACTGCATTAAAGTGTTGTGATTTTGGCCATTTCAAATTCTGATTCACTGAGAATTTTTCTTGCATATATGTGTTACCTGCTTATTTTTGCATTTTATCTTTTGTTCATCCACTACTGTTTGCTTAATCCACTTATATTTCAAAAACCTAAAAGAACACCTTTTAACCGGCTTTTTCTTTTCCCTTTCCAGACTGAATAATCTCAAAGAACCCATCGATCAGAAAAAGGAGCTCTCCACTCCCTCAGAAGGCCAGTCCAACACTGTACCAGCATCTCCAGCAGCAAACAAACTCCATAAATGGATGTTAAGCCTCATGAGACACCCGCCAGTGTCCAGTTTGAAGACGGCATCTCCTGGCCTGACATGGGCACAGCCTGATAAGGCTTTTCAGATCAAGAAAAGGGCTAAGAGATCTCGTGGCCACGGACACTCGAAAGTGGGCAGAAACCACCACCAGCATCCCCAGTATAAGAGAGTGGGGTGTGTCCTAGGAACCTGCCAAGTACAGAACCTCAGCCACCGTCTGCATCAGCTCGTCGGTCAGAACGGCAGGGAAGAATCATCCCCCATTAACCCGAGGAGCCCTCATAGTTTTGGATGAGTTAGGTTGCCCCAAAAGCAGTTCTGTTGGTATTTGTCTGTTAATGTCTTGGTTGTAGTTTTTGCATTTAGGATTAATCTACTGCGCAGTCAGCTTTGATTTATTTTAGAAATCTTCTGCTTTTACTGTTTGTACTTGATTGGTGGATTTTAAAGTTACATTTTAAAATCGCAATGGACCAAATTAACTCCAAGGATGGACCATCTCCATCACAGGAAAATATGGACATTAAAACATTATGAATTCTTCAGCTTGAATACTAAAAGGAAGAAAAAAGCTGACATTGGGACATCTCAATCTGGATAAAGTAAGAATTGTGCTGAGTCTTCAGTGCCGTTCAGTGGAGTACTTCTTGTTGCCAACTGAACTTCATAGCTTTGGATCCTTTGCTGTTCACTGATCACACACTAAAGCCTCTAATGTGGATTAGAAGCTGCACCATGACATGGAGACCTATCAAAATCAATGAGTTTCTGAATACCTTTTCAACAGTCAAGTGAACCCTTTTACCTCTCTGTCAGCTTTGAAGTTCATACACTGTGTCTAACATGAACTCGGAGATCACCACAACAGTCCTTAAGTTTGTAGCTGAACTTAATTTGAGATCATCCACAGCCAAGACTTACAGCAAACATTGTCATTTAAGACAACATGAAAAGGAAAATAAGAGTCAGCATGCAGGGATTAGTTAATGAGTCAAGAAAAGTTCTGTTTCAATTTTATGCTTCACTCAGTTGAAAATAAAAGTTAACGCTATAGTCAGATTAGCATTTCATAGTTTGAGTGGATCCTGGTTAAATCTCTAGTATTTTAGCAGTTAGATCAAATCAGAAAATAACTTCCTTAAAATTTCTCAACAAGCGTCTTTATTTAGTGGACTAGCAGATGATTTTAGGCTTCCCGATTTCAAGAACTTAAAAGTTAAATCTCTGAGTCACTTATGTCATCCAAGTTGATTCTACAGCAAAGATGTGAAAGTAGACAAATCAGAAATAGGTAAAGCATCCTAGTAAAACACATTTACTTTCATTATTACTTTCCAACTATGTAATATGGAGTTACGATGTGGGTTTGAAACAAAAGCCACGCTGACCAAAATGCTAGCTGTAACAGTTTCTAGTTTCAAATATAAACAGAAATAGCCAGGCAGCAGCAAAATGCATGCCCCAACATTTTGTTGTCTTCTATTTATGTCTGCCTCTGAAATGGTGGGCGGATGATAGACCAGGAATCGTTGGGAAACAAGGTCTTGTTGGTCCACCATGGTATAATTTGTTTCGGTCTTAAAGTTCTCAGCCATCCAGCCTTCCATTTTCTATACCCACTTAATCCCGTTTAAGAAAACCACCATCAAGCGAGTGGGTTATGTCATAGAGCTGGCATAGAATATAATCTCTATGCCAACTATAACCGAGCAAGTAGTGGAAAACAATCTGAAGAAGTCACCAGTCCATCATGAGGCCAAGGTTATAATCCTCTTGTTAGACACCCACCATATTACTTAAATCATAAGGTTGAGACGCAGCTTGAATCAAAATTAGAGTCAGTTCAAATTTGAACATCAGTCAAAACCGGAAATCAGTGTTGGCCAGCAAAACTCTGATTGGTGCATCTTTAGTATTAAAATTATATGTAAACTTTTTACTAAACCTTCATACGTAGTAGTGTTGGAGTAATGTTTGAGTAGGAAAGTGAGTCATTTATTATTATTATGATTATGATTATGATTATGATTATTATTATTATTATTATTATTATTATTATTATTATTATTATTGTGTGATCTATTGTTTTCTGTAATCTTGAAATAGCATTACTTAAATCTCACCAAATACCTGGAAATACTTGACTGAGTGGCCTTGCAGTATGTGACCCACATGATATGACACCATGTTCTTAATGTATTTTCCACTGTCTTTATTTTTTCCATCTATTTTTTTCTTCCCTGGCTGTAATCCTTTTAGACCAGAGGTCAAATCGTGGTAGCCAGTGATTCCTTGGTCTTAACTCTAATGTGTTCAAAGCCTCACTCTCTGTTGTAACAGAGCTTATTATTGTCTCGTGACAGCTCATTAAACAGCTTTTAAAATGCAGACAAGAACATCTCTCTACTTTCTCGAAATGTAAATTTTCAGCGATTCTATGTGTTTTGGATGAGTTTTGCCTTATCACTGTTTTGCTTTTTCAGTATGTTTTTGGGACGTCACACGTTGCGTCATACAGAGTTGTGTTAGCAAATCTTACCACAGTCGATGGCTTCTGGTTAGAGACCAGGGACAGTGTTTCAAGATTATCCATGGCTAAGATTCATAGGAGTTCAGTGATGTTCCTGTTAGTTTCTCATCAGACTTGTTTTCTTGTTTTCACATTTGAGTGTCACGTGTTCTTCTTTAGGGTCACAGGAAAGCACTTTAATGCAATCAAATCATGTTGACAGTTTTTTTACAACTTGAATTTTAATGTTGAAGAGCTAGCGACGGTAGGATGAGGTTGTGTTTCTATTTGTGAAGACGTATGTGCGCTCCCTGTGGTGTGAGGAGTGCTGAATTCTCCCGTGAATATATGTTATACTTTTGTATTTAAAGAAAGTTATGTATTGAAGTATTTAACTTATCTTGTGTGATAATGCCTGAATGTCACCGAGAACTATTTATCTTGTCTTTTGTTCCTTATGGTGGGAATTAAGTTTGTGACTGTAGTTGAAATGTTACTGTTTGACCATGTTCTTCAGTCTTTAAAATAAAGAACCATACTGACAATATGTTAAATGTTTGTGCAAAACTTTTCTTAGTTTTTCATGTCACCTTATTAAGTTTAAAGAAAAAATGTATTTGAAGAGTTTATGAATAAAACCCTTTTCTCTTCTAAAACTTGGCATTTTTGCCCATTTTTCTACAAAATAGCTCAAGCTTCGTCAGACTGAATGAGGAGTGACAATAAACTTATGCTGTAAGGTTTGGCTCCAGATTCTCAGTTAGTTTAAGGTCTGAATTCTGACAGGGCCGTACTAAGACATAATTAGGTTCTAACAGCCATTAGCTATCTGCTGTAGGTTTAGGATAGTGATTCTTATGGAAACTGAAGTCTCAAATCTTCTGCAACATCTAGCAGGTTTTGTTCTAGGGTTGCTCCTTAGCTCCATCCATCTTTTCATCACCATTTTATCTAACGGAAGCTTAAGAGTTGTGACTGATTTTGAAAGCCACTATAACATCATAGAGGATGTGATCCATCTTCTCCTTTGACCTGGAAACAACGTCTCAAATGTTGCAACTATGGTCAATCATTAGCTGATGGAGGGCATTGGACATTGTGAATGAGACATGGAGGGATCAGGACATGATCTGATAGCTGCCACATCAGTACGTCTGACAGAACAGGGTTAATGAGTGATGGAGGGAGTCTGACCAAAAGCAAGACCAGGATTTGGTGTCCAGAGGGGGCGGAGTTCAGGGGAAGAGTGCTGAAGGGTAAAATGGGACGAATGAATTTGACAACCCTTGATAGATCCTTGAAAGGGTAATTTTTGACAAATTTCTTGGAGCCAAATGCTTCGGAAGGTGGATGTCACTTTCCATTAAGTCCAGTTAATTCCTCACAAGAGGTCAAATCCCTGCCTTGCTCTACTGCACATCACATGTTTGCAACGCTTGGCTCTCATGATTCTTATTAAAGTTTTATACGTTCTAAATATTTTAAACGTATTTTAAATCAAATTTGACCTTTCAAATTCCACAGCAAATGAAGTTGCACTTGTTGGAAGAATTACTTTTAACTCCTTTCGCCCCCTTCGTGTTAAAGCTGAGCTGGTATCCACTTTAGCTGTAAATTTTAAAATGAATTTTGAACAAGACATTTCCTTGATAGAAACCTGCAGCAGATGGAAGTATCAACTCTCACACTTTGCTGTAACCCCAAAGGAAGTTCCCACATTCAACACAATGTGGCAGATAGAAAATATGACCTTAAAGTAAGTCCCTAAGTGTGAGGATACAGTGGAGATCCACCGATGCTACTGTTCATTTTTTCTGTTTCTTAAAAAAATCTAAGAACAGCCATGTTGAATGAAGAAGGAATCACGTTCAGGATCTTTAAGAGTTGGCTGCTGCACAGCTGTAGATTGAGGAACAGTAAATTTATTTCAGTCATTTTTATTACCTTCCAAAAAAAAGAAAAAAAAAAAAAACACAAAGGTGCCTATCTCCAGTGCTTATAGTACAAGAGTCAAGGAACACCAAAAGACGGACACATGAGACAAACAACCATGGACTGACACACTCACTCATTAGGCAAGTCTGGATTAGGGAGAACGTTCAGGACAGGTTTGAGGCTTAGTTAGAATTGACACAACCCCCAAGCTTTGGATACTTTGGATGATGGATTGACCAGAGCTCACAGAGCTCTGGTCAATCCATCATCTAAAAATATAAAACTGAAGGCACCATGCCCATAATCATCTAGGCAACACTGCTTCTTACAAAAAAAAAGGCAGCTTCATACGCCAGTTCAAATTAAAAGCAGTTTTATCACTTCATAAATACTGAAAACCAAAGAGACTGACAGCAGTCTGTCCATCTAGCAGTCTGTCATGGTGTCCACCCTGGATGCATGTCTGCCAGCAAAAACAATTGCAGAAAATGCCAATTCTCCCCATGGTCTTAAAATGAGCCTTTCTTTTACCATTTAAACTTTAAAAAGTGGAAAGTTATAAAAAGGGCTTAATTCCTGTCCTTGCAGGTGATGCCAGGTGGAAAAACAGTTCAAACCCCTCACTGCATGTCATTGAAGGGTTTGGTCAGGTCTTGTGATCCCATGCATAGATGACTTATTGCAGTGATTTCCAGCCCAGAGGAAACTCAGGGAGGCTGCCTGGCTGCCTAATGGAAACCAAACAGTATTTGACACATGGTAGATTTGCAGAAGGTTTACTCCTGTTAAGCTTCCACAGCAGTTAGTGGATTAAAGCATGCATATTCTTAAACATGCATGCTTAAAAAGCATGCATGTTCTTCTGAAGCAAACAAGTAAATTTGAAGATATTCTCACAATCTGTCAAACTATCTTCAGTGTTGTTACTCAGCACTTTAGGAAGAAGGCTGATATCACAGAGCAATAACACAGACAGATTGACGTCAGTTGTTTTATTTCTCATCTGTTCTCATGTTTTTTTAAGTCTAGTATACAGCTTTGTGAAGTCTTTTTCCCTTGTTGTTAGACAGGTTCTATTTCATTGGGTTTTTCTTACACCAGACATCTGAGTAGTTAATAAAATTAAATTCAGATTTCTAAAAAAAAATTGTTAGTTATAGTTAGTTAATGTTTTAACAGTGATAGTAGTTACTGTTCTATGAAGGGCCAGGTTGTTTTGGAATTCATTTAATAGAAATTCTCATTTGAAAACAGAATTTATTTTTTCTCATGTTATCTTTGCCTGAGATTAAAATGCGTTTAACAATCTGAAACATTCAAGTTTGACAAATGAGAAATATTCTATTCTATTTTCAAAAACTACATTAAACTAGTTTTTGCTCTGATATATTCTGGAACACAAATCACACACCAAGCTGAACTTGTTTCTTTTTCTAGCTGGAAATGCTTACTGAGGTATTTCCTCAGGGGAAATACTTAAACACTGAGGTTCGGTAAGATTTGGAAAATGTTTTTATATTTCTCTGGAACAAAGTAATCATCATGTTAACCAACATTTACCCAAAAACCCCGGTCATATGCTGACACACTATAAATATGATTTACCAGTAGCTAAAGTTATTTAAATGAAACCTCAAGAATGTAAAAATACATGCCAAATTCCACACTGTCATTCTTTAATAAAACAAAAAGGAAGCCACAATGGAATAAGTGTGTGCAAAAAGTAAGTACACCCTTGTGACTTGCACGCTGGCTGCTTGTCTAGAATGGATCCCAGGATGATTGTCTCCTCTCCAAGAAGAAAATGACAGCATTACTTTGGCTTGAAAAGTTATATCTCAGCCAACCACAAGATTTCTGGAACAAGGTTCTTTAAACACATGAATCCAAAGAAGCAATTTTTTCCATTAAGTCATGTTTGCAGAAACACATTCCACCGTGTCCAATTGAATCTGAGTATAGATGCAATTGTTTCTTGAAGGACTCAAAGGTTTGTTAGAGACAAACAGCATCATAAAAACCAAGAACCAATCAGAGATAAAGCTGTGGAACAGCTTATTGCTCAGTCAGGTTGTAAAGAATGTCTGAGGCTCACAGAGTTCTGCTTGGGACGACATCTGCAAACCGAAGGAGTTTGGCTTACCTGCAAACCTATTAATACAAGTCTGTGCACTATAAGATAAAGCTGTTGACTTTTTTACTTATCATTAAACCGATCCCTTCAATACAGCCATGTTTTTTTCTCTTTTTCTTACAGGTTGAACTTGATAGGTTTTTCCACCTGCTCTGTCTTCCAACTGATGCAACACCAGGAATAGAGTAAGACTCAGTTCACGCCTGAGGCTAGCCTGCTTTAGATAACCACCTATTATTACTATGATCATGTAATTATAATCTTTCAATGTAAAGTTCACCATAGCACATTGTTCTCTAAAGTCATGTAATTCAGTGTAATTTTCTAAATTATTTCCAATTTAGTGCAAGTAAGGGTTTCACGATGAGTGCACATTTCAAGCACTTTGGCGTTAGGCAAGTTGCACTCCAGCAAATCAGCAATGTCAAAGTCTGTTACACCTGGTTCCAATCACCTGATCACCTGCTGGGGTTTGAAGGAGCCACTGGATGATCTCTGATAATCAGTCTTTTCTGGGTGACTTGTTTTCTTCTCCAGTAGATATATCTGTTAACCTGCCGATGATACGTTGTTACGTCTGGCTCAAGGTCATAACAAAACCGGGAGACCATGCAGTGGTTAAGGTGCAGAAAAAGGAATATTTATTAAAACCCACAATGGATTGTGAAAGTCGGTATCAGTGGCGTAATGCAAATACTTGTATGTGTTGTATGTGTGAATTCGGAAGTGTTGAGGTGCAAAAAACAAAGACAAACTCAAATGTGCAAGACGCGGGGAGCTGAGCCTTGGCAGCAGAGTACCAAGAGGCAGAGCGGATGCAAAAGGCGACCCAGAAGACAGAGACAGTCAGGTTCAAATAGTCCGCGCTCCAAATCAATGGATCAGCAACAGCTGCAAAGGGGAGGAGAACAAAGGCAGATAACAAAAGCACCTGCAACCGAGCCCACCATTTACTTTTCAATGTTGATTCTGCACATGGATGAGAAAGCTACCTGGAAACAGTGGGAAAAGAACATAGCAAAACTATATCATAGCTAAAACACAAAGTCAGGTGTAGTTCTTTTGAAAAGAAAAAAAGTATTCAATTAAATATATTCAATTAAAACCTGAGAAAAATGCAAATTATACAAAATTATATAGTAGAAGAAAGTAGCAGGGGGAGGAAATGTAGCCAGCAGCCATGACAACAATAACTGAGCATAACTCAAGTCGCTTCAACTATGAGCTTTTTCAAAAATTAAAGTGTGGCCTTAAAAGTGAACATGGTGTCTTCCTCACACACACCTGGGAGCTGGGTCACTTTTTGATCTGAGTGTGAAAAGTCTCCAACCTGAGGTCACCATCAGGCTACAGACAAATGAAAAAGTTGAGTAGGAAAGTCTAAATCACATCCTCACCTAACCACAATAACGACTGAAAGAAGACCAGAACTGTAATTTATCTTTCTTCACTCCATAAACACACCATGAATTTAACAA